TTCTGTAAACTTCTTGCACTGATACGCCTCAACAGAACGGACTCGTAAAGCATAAGCATAGGCATCTTCTTGAGACAGCTTGCGCTCTTCGCTTCCAGGATCCTTACCTATTTGTTTCTGGGGCAATGTGTCCTCACTGCTGCGTACTTGATCAATCGTTTACCCATACAGCTACCGGTCGAACTCCTTATGAAGATTTATTTGGTAAACCATCCTCGTATTTCCATTTATGTGTTTTTAGATGCCTTGTCTATTGCAAGGATACCCACGCCTCTCTTGGAAAGTTTGATGAACGAGGGCGTGCATGCGTTTTCTTGGGCTGCGTGTCTAGTCAGAAGGGCTATCGTGCGTATGATCTTGCTAGCCGATGCATTATTACTAGCCGTGATGAAATTTTCCATGAGTCTGTGTTCCCGTTTTAGTCTGAAACGGCTCAAAAGTTTCATTGGGTACCCGTTTCCTCGTTTCATGATCTGGAGGATGAATTGGTTCTTCCTGATTCCACTACTTCTCTGCCTTCTTCGACAGAGTTCGCTACACCTTCCGCTCCGCCACAGGACCAACATTGTACTGGTTCCTTTTCTATTACGGATGAGCTATCTTTGACGCCGCATCTGTCTGGCTCTCCTGCATCCTGACACAGCCGCATACTGTCGTTTGGTAGGTCGAATCTTCTATATACCTGATTGTTACTTGTCCAGATATCACTTATGTTGTAAATATACTAAGTCAGCTTGTCCACTCGCCTACCCAAGCTCACATGGATGCTGGAAATCGCATCCTACGCTACATGAAGGGTGCGCCTGGTAAGAGAATATTTTTTCCTTCTTGTAGCTCACTTTATTTAGTCCAGTACTGCGATGCTGATTGAGGTGTTTGTCAATCCACCCGTCTCTCCACGGGTTAAGTTATCACTCTTTGGGGAGTGCTTATCTCGTGGCGTACTAAAAACAACACGTGGTCGCTCTCTCGTCTGCCAAAGCTGAGTCGCTTTTTCGAGTACGGTCAGTGAGGTGATTTCTTTACGTTGGCTCCGGCAAGAGTTTGGTGTTACTCAATCCAGATCTACCCTCTTTATTGTGATAACCAGGCAGCTCTCCACATAGCTTCCAACCCGGTGTTTCATGAACGCATCAAGCACATTGAAATGAACTGCTACTTTGTACGGGAGCGTGTCTAGTGTGATAACATTGCGCCCTTGAAGGTCCGCTTCCATCATCAACTCGCAAACATGTTCACGAAAGGTCTTGGTGCTGAACGTTTTCTTTTCCTCTTGTCCATGCTGCGCGTTCGTCATCTCTACTCTCCAACTTGCAGGGGGTATTGGACCCAGTACATCACCCCGGCCAGCCCACTCAAGCCCGACTTGCTGCCACTGTTGCGCAGGCTTGTGTCTTGTTTACATGCTCCAGTTGCTTTGCCTTATATGATAATTGTTGTAATAAAAGGATGTGTAAGGCCTTCAGCCATAACTAACGAATTGAAAATAATATATCAGCGGGAGAGTTGAGCTATCCTGTGGACTAGTCTCGTCAACCGGGGATACCAAGTATATCGAAAATAATCTCGAAATACACATGTTATTAAAAATATTCTCAAAATACATACGTTATAAAAAATATTGAAAATCAAGATATGTTTGGGCATCACCGCGGTGAAGGCGTGACATAAGGCTGAAACTTCAAACGAACATAACTTTGTGCCCGGTTATCCGTTCGTAGCGAAATTTCTTTTGATTACACATAATTTTTTGAGATCGTGCAAGACAAACGCAGTTTGGTCCCATATTCACTCCGAAAAAACGTCTTTGCTATCATGAACAAGCAATTTTTTGATTTCGCCTAACTTTGGGAGGCGATACATTTGTGCTCCGCAATCCAAACGTCATGAAATTTTTTTTAACGCTCATAACTTTGTAAGGACTACCACTTTTACAAAGAAGGAATTTTCAAAAAAAGAAATATTTTTAGATATACAGGATTTTGGGAATAACTTTGCCTTTACTTTTCACAAATCCACATACATTCTGAAATTATGACAATGATAAAAGTTGTAGTCCTTCAAAATTTATGCGGAAAAAAAAATCATAACGTGCACAAAGTTATGGCCTTCAAAAGTTTGACAAAATCGAAAAATTGCTTGTTCGGGGTAGCAAGGACATTTTTTTCGGGATGATGAAGGGACCAAGCTGCCTATGTTTTGCAAGATCTCAAAAAATTATGCGGAATCAAAAGGTTTCGCTACGGTTAGATGTTTTAGCCTTATTTCAGGCGTTCACTGTTGCCGTCGACTGCAGTGATGCATTCAACTCGGCCGTCGACGGCCGCGGTGATGCCCAAACATGTGTAGATTGAGAATTTTTTTATAAGGTATGTATTTTCATTATAGGAATTTGTTTTATACATAGAAGAGTTAGATTGATAGTCCATGGACACGATGCCCACCTTTCACATTATTATCACGTGGACTAATCTTTCAAACTCTTCCGCATTGGAACTATTTTTTGTTGTCATTTACGTAATCCTGAACCTTAACGCAATGTCTGTTTACTTAAAATGTGTTGATATATACAGAAGACAAAACTTGTAGGATATATAAGCCCCATCCTCTTCTTTCATTCTCCATCAAACTCACAAAGACAACTTCTCTACCTCAAAACCCATACATATATATATATTGCTAGCAACGTACCATCAAAACAACAACATGATGAAGATGAAGAAGGCGATCATCTCAAATATTGTCATCATATTTGGAATCTCCGCCGTCATCTCCAAAAATAGACGTATGCCTCTTGAGGCAGCAAGCACATGGTATTCTTTAGTAAAAAGAGAAACATGAAGGGTAAATTCGTCATTATAATGGCATATTTCTTATTTTAGAAAAATATTATTGTTGATATTTCAACCCCTATATCTTCAACCAAAGACAAGAACCATAACCACTTACACTAAACAAATTTGTTGTATCTTTTTAAATTAAAAATATACAAGAAAAAAATCTGAAAAAATGACTTTTATAGCACGGTAGCTAGCCAATAAGTTATTTGAATTTCTATAAGCTAACTATATCATTATTTTATGATTTTAATTCGAGTTTAATAGTTATTTGAATTTCTATAAGCTAACTATATCATAGTTCAAATTCAATTTCGGGGGTTAGACATGTAGCAATTAAATTTGGAGATGAATCTTAGAAAATAAGAACTAATGTGGGAAGGATTGCAACAATTTTGTTGAATATGTTATCAAACTTTTCTCTTAGTGCGAGATTTCAAAAATCAGTCTCTTTCAGTCATCGTGGAATCATAAGATATTTTTAATATTTAGTTTTCAATTTATTGAAGTAGTTGTTTTATGTCCCTAATATTTTGTGCTTATAAAGTGAATTAGGAACTTACGAAGCAGAATATCAAATTTAGAACTAGCAATTTAGGTCCTTTATTTGTAACTACCAATCTATAACGTGCCCTTTTAAATCATATAATTTCATATCTATAACCTGTGTCGTTATCAACAAATATGATAAATACTAGAAACATTTTCATGGATATATTGGACTATAAAAATCAACTTTAAATTTTTTTTTGAACTTATATATTGCTAATTATTGCATATCTTTGATTATATAAGGGTAACAAAAACATAAATAATTAAATACCTGCCCAACGGGCGGGCCCAGCGCTAGTATTCTACTATGCGAGTTCAACTAAATCAAGGACAAAATTAATCTCTCTATGGGGACGAGTTAGAGTGCTAACTCCATATGGGTTAGCACCGTCCTAACCACTTTAATCACCGTCAATCGGGGAAATCACATATATCGTTGTCTATGATCGTTATAGCCTCCTACAAGTTTTAAATGGTATCAGACCTGTGATTCTCATCATCGCGGATTATGTCTGGTGGTGATTCCTCTCTCCGGACGCCGCCTATGTCAAAGTCTGCTAGCTCTGGTTCTGGCGACAAAGACATCGACGTTCACAACCCGGTTTTCATTCATAATTTTGATTCTATAGGACATCTTCAGGATAGTAGCCTGTTGACCTCATCAAATTATGGCGAGTGGTTACTTGAGATGACGGATGCCCTTGTGACCAAGAATAAGGTTGGTTTCGTTGATGGTTTTGTTCCTCGTCCGCCCGATGGGTCCCCGTAATCTATTACTTGGCTGCGTTGTGATGCGCTGGCAAAGGGGTGGCTTCGGACGACGATGGATGCCGAGCTTCCACTACAAAAAAGACAGTCAGTTATTACCAAAACCGCATGACGACTGCTTTTTTCCGTCGCAAATTATCATCATTTCCCACAAAATAACAAAATTGTTGCAAAAGTTAATATTTTTCTTGACCGAAAATATATCGCGTTGGAAATTACAATAAATTGCGTAGGAAATTATATTTCACCCATATTCGAGGGATCTTGGGTAAGTATTTATGACGGAATTTATTTCACCGCTGTAAATATGCAATAATACTGACAATTTTAATTTGCGCGTCGCTAATGTAGTTGTATTTATGACGCTGTAAATAATAGCGCAGGAATAAATATTTTTTTTGACGAGTAATCTTCTGCATCAGTATTGTTTCCTCCTAAATGTTCTTATTTGTGAGGATTACTATATACATCAGTTCAACTTTTCAATTCCAACTAAAAATTTTGTTCGTCGCAAAAATTCGACAAAGAAATTTTGTGAAAAGTCGTTTACACCCTCAGTGCCCCTATTTCTCAAAACGGTAATTGATAATTAAAAAAGAAAGAAACGAGATGGAGGATTGAACATTGTACCTCCAAGCTGAAATACGACTCACACACCAGTTGCACGATACCTACATTCAGGACTATTCCCGAGTCTTTTCTACTTATTATTGGAGTAATGTTGGAATTCAACCGACACACAAACTCGGTTCATCCCCTTCGTCCCTTCCGATTAAACTTACATTCATCCCTTCTGCAGAAAACTGCAAAGAATATATACAGAAACGATTGGCCTCTAATTAATTGAATTAAAGGGATAAATCATAAGTATGTGGTTAATTGATACAATGAACGGTTGAATCGGAGTTCATGAATTCAGACAAAATTGATTAAGACCTATGAAACTGAGGCTTATAAAAAGTGATATTGAAGAAGAACAGAACACGGTAATCATTCATCAAGGATCACGAATCAATCTCTTTTGTAGAGAGAAGGATTCACAAAATTTACATCCACATATTGGGTTCGGCCGCACGCTGCCGGATTTGATTCAGACGCCTGCCAGCGAAGTTTACTCGGTCGTCGACCGGCGGAATTTCTTCTCTCAAACGCCGCCGGATTTGATCCAGGAGCCCGCCGTCGTGGTTTGCTTGGTGGAGCCACCGTATATTCTTCAATTGAACGCCGCCGGTGGAGAACTTTGGTCAGCCGGTGTTCTGTTCTCGATCGGGAACTGAAAAGTCAAGAACGGGAAAGGTACCAATCCCCTTCTCTTCGTACAGATTACTTTTTGTTTAAAAAATCTATATCTATTTGTGACAATTTACAATTACATACTTCACTAATCATATTTGAATGTTATATTATTTTTTTTGTTGGTGAATGGGAATACATAGGTTAAATATTAATTTTTAGTTATTAATTAAAATTAATTTTTGATGTTATCGTCCTAATTGCATCTAGTTCATTGGTGTAGGTATGGCATCAATTGATAAATCTTGGATACAATTGAAGAATCGGGCATCTCTGGAGTATATGGACAGAGTTAGAAAGTTTGCACAATACGCAGAGGACAATGTTAAAGACGAAGATGGTAAAATTAGGTGTCCTTGCACGGTCTGTTCTAACGTCTGCAGATTGACGATTGGAGAGGTAGAGACGCATCTTCTTCGTAAAGGGATGCGAAGTGACTACACTAAGTGGGTATACCATGGGGAGGGCGATGATGAAGATGAAGATGAAAATGAAACCGATGATGTTGATATGGACTTGGATGACATGCTCGGGGTTCTTAATCACCTCTTACCTCCACAGCCCGATCCTGAGCCGGAAGACCCTAACGAAGAAGCCCAAAAGTTCTACAGACTTTTTGGAGAAGCGCAATCACCGTTGTACGAAGGTTGTGATCCAAAGTTGTCAAGATTGTCATGTATCGTGAAGCTCATGAACATGAAGTGGTTGAATAGTTGGACTGATCATTCCTTTACCGAGTTCTTGAAATTCATTCGGAGCGCATTTCCTATGGCGGAGTCATTGCCAAAAAATTACTATGCATCAAAACAGTTAATGAAGGGTCTTGGGCTACATTGTAAATAAATACATGCATGTGTGGATGATTGCGTATTATATTACGGCGATCTGGAGAAGGCGACATCTTGCCCATCATGCGAGAAGTCAAGGTACAAGAAAGTTTATAAGGGTAAGAAGGGAAGAGTGCAAAAAATTCCGTTCAAAATTCTACGGTATTTTCCAATCAAGCCCCGACTACAAAGATTATTCATGTCCTCTAAAACTGCCGAAGACATGGTTTGGCACGCTGGACACCATTCTAAAGATGGGATAATAAGGCATCCTGTTGATGGTGAGGCTTGGAGTACTTTGGACAAGTACAATCCAACTTTAGGTGCTGAAGCCCAAAACATAAGGTTGGGACTAGCTACCGATGGATTCAACCCACTCGGTAATATGAAGAGCACTCATAGTACGTGGCCAGTTCTTCTATTCCCGTACAATCTCCCTCCCTGGAAGTGCATGAAGACACCCTTCACCTTCTTGACATTCCTTATTCCTGGCCCAAAAGCACCGGGCAATAATATTGACGTATTTTTGAGACCAGCCATCGATGATCTGAAGAAGTTGTGGGCTGACGGTGTGTTGACTTATGATGCTTTTAAGAAGGAGAACTTTATCATGCGAGCAGCTATTCTATGGACCATCAACGATTATCCGACTTATGATAATATCTCTAGATGGGCAACAAAAGGTAAATTGGCTTGTCCTTCATGTGGAGCTGAAACAGGCCATTTGAGATTGACGAATGGACGTAAGGAGTTCTATATGTACCATTGTTGGTTTTGGCCAGCAGATCATAAGTGGTGGAAGCAAAAGAAGGAATTTAATAGCAGAGTAGAGAAGAGGCCCCCACCACGAATTTTGTCGTCACTCGAGGTATCCACTCAGGTCAACTCATTAGATGAAATAACTTTTGGAAGTAAAGGAAAGGGTATACAAATTGACGGATTTGGAAAATCTCATAATTGGAAGAAGAAGTCAATTTTCTTTGAATTGCCATATTGGAGTTCACTATTAATCAGACACAATCTAGATGTGATGCATATTGAGAAAAACGTATGTGATAGTCTTATTGGTACCATGATGAGTATCTAGGGTAAAACAAAGGATGGGCAAAATGCACGAAAAGATTTGGAGGAGTTGGGAATCAAAAAGGAACTTCATCCCGTTGAGATAAACGGGAGGACTGTGTTACCGCGAGCTTCATACAGCTTGCTTCCGGCGGAGAGAAAGGAATTGTGTCAGTGGCTATCAGATTTATAGGTTCCAGATGGGTATTCTTCTAATTTGGGGAATTGCGTGAACGTACAGGAAGGAAAGATTTCAAGTATGAAAACTCACGACTGTCATGTTCTCTTAGAGCGGTTACTTCCGCTGGCTGCTCGTGACTTCTTGTCGAAGGCTATAGCTGACCCCTTGATTGAGTTTGACAATTTCTTCAAGAACATATGTGCTAAGGAGTTAAATGTACAAGAGTTAACTCGAATGGAATCTGAAATTGCCATTACCCTCTGTAAGCTAGAACGTATATTTCCACCAACGTTCTTTGATATCATGATCCATTTGGCCGTTCATTTGCCTTGGGAAGCCAAAGTTGCTGGACCAGACCAATATCGTTGGATGTATCCAGTGGAAAGGTATATATATGAGCATGTTTAATTTTTTCACGTTATTGGGTTTTATATGAATTTCCCGGGCCTTAACAATTTTAATTATCATTTTGGTACAATTAAATTAGATATTTTAAGAAGCTCAAGGGTTACGTTCGGAACAAGGCCAGACCAGACGGATCTATTGTTGTAGCATATGTGATTGACGAGTGCGTTACATTTTGCTCTCAATATCTAACGGATGTTCAGATGAGATTTAATCGTGCGGAAAGAAACGATGATAGTTGTGAGGGAAACCCCATTGACCAACACAAATTTTCCATCGTGTCATGTGTCGGTCGTAGCATTGGTTCATCTACAGTGGAAGACCTCGGAGCAGTTAAGTTCAAGACGGCCACGTTTTATGTCCTGCAAAACTGTGACGAAGTGGAGGAATTCATCCGGTATATTTTAGTTGTTCGCCAAAATTATGTCTTTCTTCATTATAATATAAATATTAGAAACACAGTAATAATTTATTTCCCATACATATACAGAGAGCACAAACAAGTGCTAAGTAGTCGAGGAGTTCGAATGGTTGAGCGAGTACATAGGGAGGAATTTCAAAAGTGGTTCGCAACGAAGGTAATTAAATTTTGGTTTATTATTTACATAAATTTAAATAAAAAAAATTTGTTGCCTTTTTTTTCAAATTTAATTTAAATTCATAAGTAGGAAAAATGCACGGAGAAAAGGTTGCAACATTGCATTCTTCTATGTTGACTTTATCTCGAGAACCCGACAAACGAGTCTTGCACTTCACAGGATATTGCATAAATGGTTTTAGATTCCACACGCGAAAGCATGAAGCGACTAAGACAGGTCAAAATAGCGGAGTAATGGTGCAACGTGAAGATGCCGTTGGAATTCCTTACTATGGCGTCATTGAAGATATCATAGAGCTTCGCTATACCGAAGGCCTTCGTGTGGTGCTATTTGAATGCGAGTGGTACGACACGACGAGAGAAGGTTTAGGCTACAGCAGGGATGGCCACGGTGTGGTGACCCTTAATAGGACACGTAAGCGCCATGCCGATGAATCGTATGTTATGGCGAGTCAAACACTCCAAGTGTATTATGTGCAGTGCGTCAGAAATCGAGATTGGTACACACTGATTGAGACAAGACCGAGAAATTTCTATAATCTAACTGAGGAAGAAGAAATTATCGAAGAACATGCGTACCAAGAAGATGACGGAGACGATGATAACTTGAGTTTGACTAGACCGGGTTATGAAGAATTTATTTAGACTTTTATTTAGACTTTTGTTACAATTATACGGTGACTTTTATTTAGACTTTTGTTATGAAGAATTTATTTAGAATTTTGTTAATTTCAATTAATAATCGAGGATTGCAATTTCATTTAGTTTACTTATTTTCGTAACCCAATAGTTACCACTGCTATAAAGGAAAAATACGGCGCCGTTTGGGGGTTTAATTCTCGGAAAGGAGATAAAAAACGGCGTCGTTTGGGGGTTTACTTCTCGTAAAGGAGATAAAAAAACATATACGGCGTCGTTTGGGGGTTTACTTCTCGGGAAGGAGATAACAGAGTAGTGAAGGGGACGATTCAACCTCCTTTTCACTTTAACAAAATCTCAAAATCACTTCAACCGCCCTCCGCCAGGAGACTGTCGTCCGTTCCAAAATGGAGGAGCGGTTTACCGGCGACATCATTTTGAAGGGGGAGAAGAGAGTTGCATCGCGAGGCGGAAAGTCTATAACCCCAAAATCGATGGCGGTGTTGTTTGCAGAGGGGCTTCAGCTTCTGGAATCGTGGACAACCGAGAAGCGAGATCGGTGCATGTCGCAAACTCCGTCTCGTTCCGAGGTGAACTGTACGCAGGATGGAGGAGTTGCATGTTGCTGATCGAAGGACAGGGAAGAGCAGGTGGTGGTTGAAGACGAAGGACCAGTTTTTTCGTCTTCTCCCAATAGGTATTTGCTTGGGTTGTGCATAGTAAGTTTAATTCTTTCCCCTTATCGAGTCTTCAATTTTGGAATTTGCTCATGGATTCACGCGTTGAATTAAATGTTGCGATGATTTTATTCTCCTGTTGAGATGCATGCTAGAACTTTCTTTTTTTTTTTTTTGGTAAAAACTTTCGTCTTATTCTTCGCGCATGCAATTGAATTCGTCGATGTGTTGTTGCACTAACCCAAAAAAATAGCGGGTAAACGAGGGAAAACAGGATTTAAGGGCATTAAAAATTCCCTGAATCTAAAAACTAAACTCTCTCTCAATCTACATAAGTATCACTCTCGTGTATACTGCCTCCCTTCACCGTTTACCTAAGCCATAAATCTTTCCCCAGCAAACCACAACCAAGAGACGAAGTATGCCTCTGTTTTTGTGTGTTTACCCATTTGTTTAGGATATGTTCAACTTCCCCTTTTTCTAACAGAACTTTGCATGTATATGTTAGATGGGAAAGTCAAGGGCACGCAAAAATATGAAGAAGAAGGCTCCTGCAACTCCTACAGAGGAACAAGAAAGTGTTCATGTTGCTGATCTGGACACTGACCAAACATATGAATCTGAAAATGTGCCAGAAACTCAGCATGTGGAGCTTTCTTCCGATGACATTGCAATGGAGACTGATGAAACTGTTATGAGCACAGATGGAGAGGCAGGAAACCAGGGTAATTAAGCACTTGATCTTCTTAAGTTAATTTTTGTTTTTCATTTTTACTGTGTAAAAGGTCTAATTACAGACCAATCTATTCTGAATAAGGTTCTGGTAAGAAGAGGAAAGGACGAGGACCTGGAAAAGGGGTGAAGCCAGGTCATTGAATTGTACTTGAATTCCATGACAATAGGTATGACATGCTCGGTTTTCATTTACTGCATAACGATGTGTTTGTGAAATTGACAAATAGTGTGGTTCTGTATGTGTGATAATTATTTTGTAGGATTGTGACAACAGCAGCAGCCCGTGAAATCTCGGCCATTTTCAAGAGGAGCATAAGTGGACCGTGGATCACTTTCAGTGAGTATCCATCAGCTGAGTTGGAGACCTTGATTACTCGTTTCAAGGAGTCGGGATTTGCTTGCAGCCTCCCGGAGTAAGAGATGAATGCTCAAATCAAGGAAAACATCAAAAGAAATTTCCCGCAGTGGATGTACTCATTCCGCAATCCTGTGTTCAAGGCGCATGCGACGGAGGCTGCTAGGATGAACAATCCACCAAATGCAATACCTCCACAGATTTGGCGGGAAATGGTTCGCAAATGGTCAGACCCTAGCTGGGTGGTAAGACCTTCTGCTTTTATCCAATGTCGAGTAGTATGAGTGTGCTATATAAATCAGAAACTTAGTTGTGCTTCTACTTTTTCCAAAACCTGCAGGATACAAGTGACAAGAACAAGGAGAACCGTGAGAAGTGTGAGCTGAAGTCAACTTGTGGTTCTGCTCCCTTGGCAAAGTACAGATTGGAAGAGGTGTGTTACAAAAAAAAGTACCTATTTCTTTTATTGTTTGATTCCCCTTTTTTGTATGTATGAGTGTGCTGTCTAGTTGATTGCTTGTGTATTTGCAGATCAAGAAGACGGGCAGAGAACCTGATCCTATTGAGACTTTCAGGAAGTTTCATTCAACAAAGGATAATTTCACCACTCCCAAGGCTCAGGCTCGACATGTTAGTAAACACATTCTGAATTCCAATCATATTGCTTGGTGTTCTAGTGTTTAAGTGCATAGGGGAACCAGAATTACTAACAGTAGTTTTTATCTTGAACTGTTTAGGCTGGAATGAAGGAGAAGGAGGCAGAGAAGTTGAGCAAAGGGGAGGATATGAACAAGTTTGCTATTTATGGAGAGGTGGTAGGCCAGCAGTGAAGGAAGCGAGTGCTTGGGATGGGTTGTGGGGTCAGTGGCCTAGATGTGTTTGGCTCTACTTCAAGCCAAGGCTGCAGCAAAAAATGAAAAGAGGATCAAAAGATAGAAAAGGAGAAGAACGATGAGAAGATGAGAATGATGGAAGAACAGATCGAGCAGGTGAACCGTAATATGCCTCTAGTTGTTGAGGCGACGCTGAAGAGACTTGGAATCCAGCTGCCAGAGTCGTCCAATGTAAGTCTGATCCCATTTTTCTTATGTATTATTAAATGTATGTATGTAATGAATGAGTAATTCCCACTTTTCCTGTTCTATGCGATGATGTAGGCTGCAAACAACAATGACATAGAGGATGATGAAGAAGTTGATGGTGAGGAAGAAGATGACGACAATGAAGATGACGAGGAGGGTGATGGGACAAACTGATGATTCAGTGGTCGACGTGCAATGGAGGTCTGCAGGCTGCAGCTAGGAGTGGTGTTTATTCGTTGTGTTTTTTCCTTTGTTAGATTTTAGCATCGCTCGTTTAATGCAAGAAAGACAATGGTGTTTTATGTTTTGTGGGTGCACTTGTTTAGTGCATGCAAGACATTGGTGTGTACACCCCATGTCTTAACTATCCAGTATGCAAGACAATGGTGATCGTATGGCACCTTTCTTTATATCCAAGTAATTGTCTTTTAGCCATTTCGAATATTTTTAATTATTTATGAAAATGCAATTAAAACATAATATTACAATTGCATTGATAATAATTTTGACGATATCTAACATCATTTTCAACGCTTAATAATTTATTTGTGACAATTTATTTGTGATAACTTATGATAATACTTTTGACGATATGTAACATCATTTCCAACGCTTCATATTTAACTTGTTAGGACAACTGGACCTCGTAAAACGTATTACTGACCAAACAAATTCCATCACAACTAAATTAAGTATCAAGTTTTTTATTACCGACCAAAATTATCCGATGCAAATTCAAAAGGGTATTTTTGGAATAATCGTCATCAACGAATAAAGTATCATCACAAATAATCATATATATGACAAAATATATTCCCAACCAATATTCTTAGTCACAAAATAAAAATTTTATTTTTTCTAAAGTTTAACAACAACAAATACAGATTCATCACAAATAATATTATTGTGACAATTTTTTTTCTGACAAACATTAATTGTCGAAAATTACAAAAGGGTATTTTAGGAATTAAAATATCGATACAAATTGTACAGTTTGCGACGATTCAAAGTCGTCGTAAATATAATTGAAGGGTATTTGAGTCATTAACTATTTATTGGTAACAACATTCGGTTGTTTAAAAAAACAAAATTCCGTCAAAAATAAACTTCGTCATTTTCTGAGCATCAAGTATAATTTATTTATGACGACGATAATTTATCTACTGACATCTAAACATGTGTCACAAATATTCTAGTTATGACGCCCTAACCAATTTCCATTTTTTGCGATGGGACTTTTTCCGATGACGCCCAACGACTGTATGTCGTCATAACAAGTCATTTGCAACGAAAAGCGTTCATTACCAACGCCAAACTGCTGGTCATAACTGACCGTCTTTTTGTAGTGTTCGCAACAATGTTATGCATGCTAAGACCGCTAGAGTTATTTGGGAAGATCTAAGGGATTGGTTTAGCAAAGGTAATCTGACGCGCACCTATGAGTTGCATCGTCATGTGAGTTTACTCCTACAAGAGAATTTTTTTTTCTTTCTGGTTTTTACACACTAAGTTGCGGAAGATCTGGGAGGAAATGCAAATCATCTTGTCGTCGCCGAACTACACTGTGAGAGGCGTAGTCGAGATCATAATGAAAGCCTCCAGTTACTTGATATTCTGTTCAGGCTGGATGAATCGTTTGCCACTATTTGTAGCCAAATACATTCTATGATAACTCCGCCGTCTCTTCCGAAATCTTTTCGGATCGTACTCAATGATGAACATCAGCGGAGTCTCACCCAAATCCGAAACCCTTCACTTGAGGTTGCCGCCTTTATTCCTCATGGTGAGGCTGATCTCACGACATCCGACGCTCGTCTTCCTCGGGATCACGGGTCTGGTGAGAGGGATAAGATGATCTGCACGCACTGCCTCAAGCCTGATGGTCACCTTCAGGAGACTTGTTATCATCTCATTGGCTATCCTTTGCGAGACAAGCAAGGTTATCGCCCGCCTCGTCGACGTAGTTGTGATTGTGGGCGTGAGAATCGGCATGATGGCGACCCATATCGCGGTCATAGCCGAGAACCTAGTGCTTCCTAGGCGGAGAGTGACGTGAGCCCAGTCACTGGCTTTACCACTCAGCAGCTAGATCAACTCAAAAAGTTTTCTGGTTCGCAGTTTGGCTACGTTACCAATCTCACGAGTCACATAGCTAGTACATTTTCCTTCTCTACTAAATTCGAATGGCTTATTGACTTTGGATGCAATGAGTATATCATGATTGATGTTAATCTCTTGAGTTCACATAGTTCTGTTTTACCTAGCCAGTCAATACGTATTCCGAATGAGGCTATCATTCCTGTTAAAAAGATAGGGTCCATTCAGTTGGGTAACGAGTTGGTTCTTGGCCGGGTACTACATGTACCCGAATTCTTTTGCAACCACTTATCTGTCAACTGCTCAGGAACACCATGTTGCTTTTATTTTTCTGGTGATATTTTCATTATACAGGACTTACTCTCCAAGAATGTTATTGGGAAGGGGGAGATACGTGATGGACTTTACTTGTTGAAGATTTTTGGGTTTTGATAAGCTTCATAAAAATACATGTATTATGTACGTAAATGATTGATCCTTATGTATGTATGTGTTTAAATTGTTATAATTAGTTCATATTGACCATGGAATGACCCTAGTGTCATTACCAAGACATGTAGCGATTTAACGCAGATTGAAGCTAAGATTGTGAACAAAACAAAGTGCAATGGACGATTGCATGTGCAGTGGCAAAGTGCAGACGTGCAGTGGCAAACATCCAGCAGGACCAAAAACCGATAAAACCCAAATTGAATTATTGTTGGTTGGAATCTTCACTCAACTGTCAGCAATCCTCAGAAATTATTGGGATTGGATCAACTTTCTTGTAGTGAGCAAATGGATTTGGTGGCTCACAAATAGAGAAAATGATGCAATAATTTATTGCAAGGAAAGAGACTTAAGCTGGCAGCAACTTTCTCTTGGAAATGGGAGCTGAAAGTGCCTTGTTTTGTGGGAGAAAAATCTGCAGAAATTGGGCTTAAAAGGGATAGAAAAATACAACAAGAGTGGGAGCATAGTAGACACTTTTGGAGATTTTGGAGAGAAAAATAAAAGGAGAGGCTCACTTTGGCAAACTTTGGAGTTGAGCATTTTGAAGAAAGGAAGACTCTTGTAAGTTAGGGGTTAACTTCAACACTTAGTAATTTCTCTACTCCTTTATTTTTGGTAATTAGTTATGATGTTGGACATTAGCATGTTTATGTTCTTTCTTTTCATCATGAACTAATCCTCCATTTCTGGGGAAACTTATGGATTTCATTATCTAGCCTTGATGTTTTAATCACGATTTGTTTTTGCTCCATTTTCTATCGTGTGAAATTGTTTAACGTTTTGTGTTGATTGGCCACCTTCACAATGATTTGTAGTTTTCTAGGTTGATAACGATAGTGAAAACCTAGTAACCAAACACCTTTCACATGACATAATTGCCTATCGAAGAGATAGTGGATTAAATAGGGAATTATGCAGTCATTTTAGGGATATCGTTCTTAAGACAAATTAATTAATTCAGTTAACTACGATAGTAGAAATTGTCTTAATTAATTAGTACGTGGTAATTCTCGATGGAGATAGCTATCAATTTAGAGGAATCCCCTCTGTAGAAATATGGATTAAATTGACTGACAAGGGTAACTAAATTCACTAAGGTAAAATAGTAAAATCTTATGTTTCCCCCGGAACTCTCCAATATCAATTTCTCCAAAATAGTTGATTTATCGAGTTACTGAATTTGTGCGTATCTTTGCAAATCATCACTTGATTACAACCTTTGCAATTCCTAAAGTTTCTTGAACTAAATTTGTTAATTATGAATTTCACCAATCCTCTAGAGAACGATAATTTTACTACACTTTATTACTTGAACGACATTGTGCACTTGCAGTTTTGTCGTCACCAAGTTTTTGGCGCCGTTGCCAGGGATTGCCAAAATTCAATTTTAATTAATTTTGTGTGAGTGAACTGTTTTAATTTGTGCTTTAGTGTGCATAAAAAGTTTCAGGAAATTTCTTCTTTGCTTATGCGAAGAAGTGAGGCTGAGGAGTTGCTGCCACTAATTCACGAAATCGAGGAGGCTTGTAAGTACAACCAAAAACAGGCAAGGGTATGAAGAGCCAAAACAACCAAATTGGCACCTACCTCACCAAAAGCTATCAAATTGAGAGTTCTATCTCTTCACCAATAGACAACATGGAGGAGGGAGCGATCAATGGCCACAACACCAACCAAAACATCAACCACCACCACCACCTCGAGAGGAGAGATGATCCACCTGAAGATCGTACCATACGGGACAAGCTAAACAGAAGAACCGGAGCACGAGCTTCTGGTGTTGTCCTTCCTGATCCTGGAAAAAATTTGGGAATCACACCATCATTCATCCACATGATTACTAGTGGATATACGTTCTCTAGTGTGACTACTGATCATCCACATGATCATCTCAGGAGATTCTGCAACATATGTGACACCATGAAGAATCCTGGGGTGTCAGATGATGCAATTAGGCTGCGGATATTTCCATTCTCTCTGTTGGGCCGAGCGACCCATTGGTATGAGAATCTTACTCAACGTTCTATCACCACATGGACACAACTAGAAAGCCTTCCTAGACAAGTACTTTTCCACCATCGAAGGCGATGAAGAGGCAGAAGGACATTGTAGATTTCGAGCAAATTGATGCCGAGAGCCTAAGTGAAGCTTGGAAGCGT